GGTCGCCACTCCAATAAGGGCAAAGAAATTTATACCTACCACGCCCCATGGCCAGTGTACGCCATGGACTGGAGTAAGGCTCCTACCGAAAAAGGTGGATTTCGTTTAGCTCTTGGTAGCTTTATAGAGGAACATGAGAATAAGGTACGGTTTCTTCAGCGTGTTTTTCGACTTTAACCCCCACGTTTCCCCTTGAATAACCTTGTATGTTTAAAAACCCTGTAGCTACAAATTGTTACTAGATCTGATCTTGTTGATGATATGTACGCCAGTCAACATTCAGATTTCGCGGTGCTCGCCGAGACTGACTCGTACTATCCTATTACAAAGGTTTTGTGGGAGCCATACAAGGTGAGCGGTCGTAACACACACACGTTGGTATCACAACAACAGCGCATGCTAATATATACATTATGCCAAAGGGCAAGCACAGAACGGATCTTTTAGCCACTACTGGAGATATCTTGCGTCTATGGGAACTAGTCGATAGCCCTTCCTATGGAAGCAATACAATTGGAGGTAGAGGATCTGGAGAACATCCTAATGGATGCCCGCAGAAATTGGTTAAGAAATCAGAGCTTATGAATGTAAGGGGTCAGGTTACTTTGGTTTGGACATGCTATTCTTTGCTGAACATACCATTTCTCTTCTTCTCTAGGTCAAGCAAACCGACTTTTCTGCACCTTTGACTTCGTTCGATTGGAACGTAACCGATCCATCTTTGGTCGTTACCTCTAGCATTGATACCACTTGCACTGTTTGGAATGTCGAAACGAACCAAGCAAAGACTCAGCTGATTGCTCACGACAAGGATGTTTATGATGTCGCCTTTATGCATGGTACAGCCGATATTTTTGCCAGTGTTGGAGCTGACGGCAGTGTTCGCATGTTTGACTTGAGGTAAGGAAAAAAGTTCAAAATGGAGTGCGAACTTGGTCTTATCTTTAACGCTGTTTTGGTCAACAGATCATTGGAGCATTCAACTATCTTGTATGAAACCCCACAGCCAACTAATAACGTGGTTGGCGGTCCGGCTGGCGGTGGCCCAGCTCCTCTGTTGCGACTAGAGTTCAATCGTATGGAGCATCACTTATTGGCCACTTTCCATATGGATTCCATGTCGGTGCAGATTCTCGATATCCGATTCCCAAGTACGCCAGTCACCGAACTCGTCAAGAGTCATAACGCCAGCGTCAATTGCATCAGTTGGGCTCCTCACGATTCTGGCCAAATTTGTACTGGAGGTAACGTGTTTTTTAGATGTAGTAGGGTGGGCCGTAGCAAGCAAATATACTGACATGACATTATAGGCGATGATAGTCAAGTTCTTGTCTGGGACTTGAACCTCGCAGCCAACAATTCTTCTCCAACCACAAGCACCACCAACCGATCTAGTCACCATCGCCAAAGCTACCATAATGGCCATCCTCAAATGCAGCGACACATTTCCGACCCCATCCTTGCCTATTCCGCCGAATCCGAAATCAACTCTTTATGCTGGAATCAGGGTCTCACTGAGTGGATTGGTGTAGGATTTGGTAAGACTGTGCAAGCCCTCCGTGTGTAGAGAAACCCCAGGGCCTGGCAACGAATCGATAACCAAGAAAAAAAAAATTCGTTCCTGCGCTGGATATTACAATTAGTTCTTCATACATTCACACCTCTCTTTCTTTGTGTCTAACTCTTCTCATATAGCTTTTTTCACCCCCCCCCCTGATTTTTTTCTTGCCATTCATTTTTTTCTGTCTTAATTTTCGCATTTGGGTGTGGTATTTGCTCGCAATAACGTATGAAGATCAGTAAAGTTAGGTCTACCAAAGTCCTTTCTCTGCAACGTGGGATGGTCGCTGCCCAGTTTCTTTTTGTTTTGGAGTTTATTGGTCATTATACAATGCGCGATCAATACCATAAAATTGTACTCTAAAACGTCCTTTGCAAAAACTAGACTGTGTAAGAGCGAAATAAAGAAACCAAGTTATAGGGAAATGTGAAAAAAGAAATTATATCAATCAGAATCGCTCGCCACCATTATTCAACGGCATTTCCAATTCCATCTTCAAGAATAGCAAAGGTGCCTTCGTTCTCAGGAAGAGATGGAGAGTCATACACTTTACATATTCGATTCTCTCCTCTTCCTTTCCTCAAGTACAACCTAAACAACCGCTCAGTCAGTGACCATTATGGATCACCTTACAAGCTGCAAATCTTCATCTTACCTCGTGCATGATGCATGTGCAATGATGTTTCCTCCAGCAGGCTTCTTGGGATCGGGATTGAACATAGAGGCTGCACCGTCCACTTGAGCAACGACTTGGTTGGTGATGACCACAGCAATACCAAATTCGTCGGCCAGCCGTTGAAGATTTCGCATGAACCGTGCCAAATGCATTTGACGTGCTGCAAGCTCACCTCTACCTGAAAAATCCGTTCGGTATAGCGCCATAGCACTGTCTACTATAAGAAGCGAGAATCGAGATTCAGCCATCATGGCTGATGCTTGCACAAGTAGCGCCGTCTGATGATCAGTATTGTATGCGCGAGCATAAGCAATGTTGTCCAATGCCTCTTCGCCATTGAGTGAGAATCTTTGAGCTACTGAAAGGACACGAGACGGTCGGAATGTTCCTTCAGTATCAATATATAAGCACTTTCCTTCACCACCTCCCATATCCACCGGAAGCTGCATTATTGAGGCGGGCCGTGAGTCATAGACGAAAACAGACAGATGATATTTAAGCGAGCTCTTACCTGACAAGTAACAGCAAGAGTGTGACAAATCTGACTTTTTCCCGTTCTAAATTCACCAAATATTTCTGTGATGGAGCCTGTCTCAATACCTCCTATGGATGCAAAGGTGTCAATACCCAGTTCCAACCAACCTATGGACGAGGAAAACATGCAGCGCAGCAACTTTACCTCCAAGAATTTTGTCGAGTTCACTAGAACCGGTCGTGATGCTAATCAGTTCCTGCCGACGATGATGAATATCCATAGCAGTTGTGAATCCCATATTTACAAGTTTGGAAGCTGAAGGATCGACGATGAGGTTAGAATCACATTCAGTAACATTAGCCCCCTCTCCCATTCCATCCCAACCGTGCTCTACCTTCTGTCAGGAATTTGTCGGCTTTCGTTTCCGAGATGCCCTTGATGACAAGCAATGCCTTTTTTGGCGTATATGCTACAGACTCGACAGTATGATAGCCAGCCTCCGTGAGTTTTTTTATGTCAGTAGCCGTCAAGCCGAATTTCTAAACGACATTCAAGTTAGAAGACAGTTCGAGACGTAAAGTCAAAGGCTGTAAGTATGCTGCGCTAGACCCCTTACCTCAAGTTGGCTCAAGGGCATGGGTCCACTATCATCGCTGTATTCTTCTTCTGCGTGTTGTGACATTTCGTAAAGTGGATCAAAAGATTAAGTAAATCAAAAAGGCGTATAGAGAGAGAGAAAAAAAAAAAGAAAACGACGCCTGTCGTTTTTCATCGCGCCGCGTGCAGTTACGCGTAGTGTACTCCGACCCAAAAAATTAATGCCCTTGTTGCCATGGTAACGCTGACTCTCTTTTTGCCCACACGACGCACTAGCGCAGACAATGGCATCCTTCATCATTGAGTAAACAGTGTCGGATCACAACGCTGACCTATTGCCGACTGGTTAAAAAATTTGAGAGCTCATGTAAGTCCACTTGCTTTGTTATTTGTTGAACCGAAATGTGTTGATGGTACAAGAAGAAGGAAAATCTCTAAAAGACAGCAGAGAAACTCTATGAAGGTCACCGAATCCAACGTCCATTCAGCCAATCATAAGAGCAATCTAGTGACACTAGTAGGTGTTGTTTATCATCTAAGAAGAACAAATACAACGAAGTGTTATTTGCAATGAGCTCCCTCCTTGCAGGACATGGATGATATCAACAGGCCGTTTTATGACATGGTCAAAACTGGTATGGCGAATCAACGGATGCGCAATATTTACAACTTTGGCTCAAGCTTTGTTCAAGTGGTGTGATGGCTTTTCATATGTGATCATTCATAACCTCAACACCAGATATCATGGTATCTTGGGTCATCCAAATAGCTTGCAAAAATGAAAGTGGTTGACAGCGTGTCTTGCAGGGAAGTTGGTACATATTCTAGAATCAATTGTATTAAGATGAATGATGACCATGGATTTTCCTATGAAATGCGTCGTCGTGTGTTGACATCTCGCGTCTTCAGTATATATGTTTCAACCTATAGCAAGTCCTCGTATGTGACTAGATATGGTGCTGTTCGCGCTAAATGAAAAATGCACTACGATATGGTACCAGCAGCCACTCCCCTTTTAAGCACCGGATGCTCAAAACTCCGTGCTGTTCCTAAAAAATTTATTGTATCAACGGCTGTCCTCTCAGTCGGACATCAAGTTTGAAACAGAGCATCCAAATTTTATACTTTGTAGTATTGAACTTGAAGCCTCAATTTCAATACTTTTGGCCTCACTATGCTTACCACCTCTTTTAATAAACTCTTTCATACCTCTTTCCGTCGCTGTTAATGCTGTCTTTACGGTCTGATTTAACGTAAACCATTGACAAAACAACGGCTGTGATGTAACTTGTTTGTTTTTGCTATAAAAACTGTAATATGAAACAAAAATGTGACGTGTGGGCCGTGAGTTAAAGGAATGTAACTGCTAAGTCCGATTCAATGCACACCGAACGTGAACTCGTTACTATCAGAAAGCACTTGTAGAGCGAAATAGACAGTGGTGACAAAAGACTCGGAAAAAGTGAAGAATTGGAGGAAAAGAGAGATGTTGTTCTTTATTCATAACGAATTGATATTCATACGCAGTAAATTCATGCAGTTGGAATGAGTTGCACACACTCTTAGTAATAACTGCAAGGGTAAATCACATGGCCGGCGAGGTATACACACTCGACTTACAAACAAGATGAAAACAATAAAAGTTAGAGTTGTCGGCTCCTTATTTCTACATACCGTCACAAAAAAAAAACGGAGATATAGCTCAGCGGTAGAGCAGCCGACTGCAGATCGGCAGGTCCTTGGTTCAATCCCGAGTGTCTCCTATACTTTCTTTTTTGTCTTTTTGGCAATCTTCGCTTTTTTGATTCCTTTGCTTGTTGCATATTTTGACCCGAATTTCGCTTTTTTTTTTTAACTAGTGACGGCCGCCGGAACTCGTTTACATTAGCTCCCAATCTTACCATAGAAAAATAAACAGGATGTAACGTGCTAAAATTTTGAACTCCCAAGTTGCTTTGTAAAATATGTGCGATTGCTATTCCTTTAATCGTCGCCATAATGTGTATAATACTATGCACCATGAGACTTTCACAGACAATCCACTGCATTGACTGTATAATGAAGTGGCACATGTTTTTATTCTAATGATTATTTTTGCAGATATCTACCACGGAACACATTTATGACACATTGTAAAACAATATCAGACAAGCACCACATCAAACTGATACATGCAATTCCTTAAACATTTCACTGTCCACCTTTTCGAGGTATTTGAATTTTGAAAGGAAAAACGAATGGCTTGACTGGGTATAATATAACACGGAAACACGGAACCACGGCAAAGAAATTAAAGTCTGGACATCGATTTTGAATGTGACTGTATCAATTTTTCAACGTCAATAAGCCCTAGATAATTCAAAAATTGTTAAAATATTATTATGCAACTCTTTCAACTTCATTTGAACCGCCTATAGCAGCGTGCATTGTTTCTTATGATTTTAGCATATCCATATCTTTACGCACTATTGTCTCATCTTTTACCCTTTATCCTTTATGCCGTACAGGCAAAGAAATTATTAAGCACCGTATGCGTTATAGCACTGGAAAAATAAATAAATTGGGGGATATATCGAGTATGGTAGTTGAATACTTTGCTACAGGGACATTTAATGATAATAGCGGATCTTTAGAATTCCATCAATCTTGATGTCATCACAGCAAGATTTATAAACTTTGATAGTGCTGATTTATTATTGAAAATGATGAGAAAAAGAGATATGAAGAGTAATGTAAACAATACATATATTTCCTTTATTCTATTTGTTGTTGAGACAATTTACCAACCACTGCTGGCTCCATACACCTTTTTGTCAAAGCTAGGAGCCTTAGTTTGAGTCCATTGATCTCCTGAGAAAGTGTAAGAGTTCAAAACCTTCAGTTGAACATCGCTAAAGACGTTGTCCTGGTCCAACATGCCGTGAACTGCAATAGCCAGACGGTTCTCTCCGTTGGCGTTGAGGATACCAGGTGGGACAGGGAACTCGTCTTGAGGACCCAAGTTTGGAATAACCTTTCCGTAGTTCCATCCATTGATAAAAAATTCAGCTCTGTAGGATTGTCCCTTGGGCATATCAAATGCAAGAACAACCGGGTTATCCGACTTGGCAGGGAAGTTGAGCTCAAAATCAGTGAAGTACCAAGCAATACCAGCGCCGCCAAAGCTAATAAAAGCATGCATTAGAATATGTCACTATTATAACAATAAGATGGAGAATGCAAATACTTACTTATGGGGAAGCTTGACGTTATTTTGGAACTTGCTAGTTGAAAGAGAGAAGCCAGGCAAGTGCCATCCATGGCGCTCACCATATTTACCACCGACGTTGAAGGTACCACGATCGGTGTCGACAATGTCCTCACCACCAAGGTTACCTTGAATCTTCCAGGAGATGGTAGCAGTTTCGCTTCCCTTGCTGTTGAGAACATGAGCTTCTCTCAATCCGCGATAGTTCTTGTAGGATTCGCTAGCGCTACCACCTTCTTCATCCGATCCCATACCGTCAACGAGTACTGATACAACATTCTTACCCTTGCTCAGTTGCTTGCTTGTGATATTGAAAAGCTGAGGTTTTCCGCCAGCAGAAGAGGTGGAGCTTCCAAGATAGTTACCATTGAGCCAAGTAGAGTAAACAGAGTTATCACCACCTAGAGTATAATGATTTAGTATACAATTATCTCAGTTATGTGTCAAAGTAAGAGAAAGGTAGCATACAAACCTTGGGCAGTGATATTGAGAGATGTTTCGTCACCAGTTGCCTGGAAGGAGCCACGGTACCAAATATGACCAATATGATAACCATAGTCGGATGCATACAAGACCGGTTGTCCGGCAGGTTGTGAAAGAGGATTGTTGGTGCTTTGCTTATTAGCAACCTTCCACTGACTATCATCAAAGTTGGCGAGAGTTTCAGGAGATTCACGAGCAAAGGTCCACTTTTGCAACTTGGGCACGTGAGCCTTCTTGGGACCGCTAACCTTGCCGGAACGAGATCCACGAGAAGTAGCAGAGACATGTAATTTCTCGCCGTTCCATTCGACAGACTGGAACTTGGAAGAAGCAAATATCTCGACAGTTTCGGCTTCAGCGGTATCTGCACGAAGGGACAAAACATCTTGAGAGCCGCCAGAGGTACCACGAAGCAAGTACTATAATATGAATGAGTAGCTTTAGAAACATGTGCATTCACAGGCATTGAATAAAGTAGATATCTCCATCCACTTACGCTTCCAAAAAGGAAAGCAGGTCCGTTCTTGGTATCAACCTTCCAGAATTTATAGGCATTGTCCAAATCAGCCATCAAAACAATGAGAGGGTGAGCACCGGAGATCTTGACTTGCTGCAATCCTATTATGACAAGACTGTTAGTTGCTAACTTCCAAGGGAAACAAGTATTAATATTTTACTAACCTTTGTACTTGAAGTTCAATCTGATGGAATCACTGGAAACAGTGGACTTGATTGATCCACTTCCAACTTGGACGGTTGGTTTTTGCGAACTCTTCAAGCTCAAAGCAATTTCAGCCGATTCACCGCTCAGTCCATGCAACACAAGGTAGTCCACGCCATCGATAGTTCCCCATGTGAGTATTTCTGATGTAGAATAGATGATATGTTGATTGAGGAAGTCAAGGTTGGAAGGAAGAATCTTAGAGTCACGGCCATGAATAGCAATGGTGTCCTCAACAGGTACGGAAGTGCCATCGGCTAGTAATAAGACGTTAATGAAAGTTGTTTTTTCTCCACAGGCACAATAATGCCTTTCAGCCTTACCGAGTTTGAGCTTGAAATTATAGTTATCAAAGCCGCTGATATTACTATTGCGAAGGATATGGAACGCAGAATCTGTCTCCTTGTTATGCAACCTATCGCACTTGATACCAGATTCCGACGTAGAACAGGTGGTAAGGTCAGTTCCTGCCATTTCCGTAGCAACGTCCAAGAAGTAATTGAGCAGCTTCTTTTCATAGATCTTGGATCCAATTTGTCGGGACTCATCAATAGGAGCACCATAGTCATAACTGGTGTAGTCATCAGGGAAGCGCAAGTTACCCCAGTTGGTCTATAGAGAAGATTAGTAAGATAGCTGAGCAGCAAGACTTCATCTATACTTCACACTTACTCCACCATAAGCTATACAGAGGAAAAATGGTTAGTGACATGCTATTGTAAACACACTTAATGCAAGTACAGAGTGCAAGTTACTTACTCATATAGTCGCCTTGCATAAAGACCGTCATGGCAAGCATCCAGCGATTGTAAACTCTCAGGTAGAGGTTGTTGGCGGCTTCTCTACAATTGTTTTCTCCATACCCACCCGTATGAATGCAAAAAAATTCAGTCTGACTGCATTTATGATGATCGACTTTTTTTTCCATAGATACTTATCATGTGTCGAAAGCACCAGCACCGAGTTCTGGAATCCAGAGAGGAACATCTTGCCTGTACTTAACAATCTCAGCGAATGGTTTACTGTAGGGCTGGGTCCACAAAGTTGGATTAGCAGGACAAGGACCCCATCCGATGGGATAAAACTGGAGAAAAAAGAAGTAAAAAATTTAGTACTTATCACGCAAGTAATCATAATATATTGTTCCAGTTACATCGTATCCAATCCTGTAATATGTTAAGTCAGCGAAAGTACGTTTGTGTTAGTTAACAGTTCAAAAAAAAAAAAAAAAAGTGTGTCTATTCCACTCCACTTACATATCAGTTGCTCCTTTGCCAGAAATCCAAGGACTAGCATAATCGCTTGCAGCATTGTGGAAGTTAGGCACATATATACCGTTATCGGTATATGCCTTCTCTAGCAAAGCCATGTAGTTGCGGGCAGCCGTGGTGGTATCACCGAACTCGTTTTCTATTTGGACAGCAATAACAGGACCGTTAGGGTATTGCCACTTGGCCAGAATTTTTGCTACACCTTCGATATACGGCTTCCAAGCAGCAGTGTAGTCAGCGGCATCAGTTCTAGCAGCACCTTTCAGAGTTCTTGTCCATTCAGCTAAACCACCACTGGTAGTTTCGGCGTTGCTATAATTTGAAGTTAAAAACTGACGCCTTTTCAAATCCAGTCTCCGTGTGAAAGACTTACATGTATGGACCGGGTCGAGCCGAGACGTATATACCAGTCTCATTAGCCATTCTCATCAGCTCATCAATATCTCTGATCCCATTAAAATCAACTATAAATAAATTTAAATGAGATTGAATAGACCTCAGTATGCTTTGTAAATGCATTTACTCACCTGTTTGATTGTTCCAGCTGTGATATCCCCAATGGAAGTACATTTGAGCGACATTGTAGCCATTAGACTTCACTGTTAGTAATTGTTAGTACCTTAGTCATGCATCAATCGCCTACAATATTAAGTGCATGAAGTATAGTTACACTCACTTTTTTCAAACACATCCTTCCACAGAGCTGGACTAGGTAATCTCCAGGGGGCCATTTCTCCTGCTCTCCAGAACACTCGCTCTCCATCGATCTTGATGGAATAAGCATCCCATGTGATAGGGCTAGACTCTGCAATGTTTTCAAGTCAGAATGATGTCGTAGCCGTCATGCTCAGATAGACAAATTGACATATAATATTACCTCTTTTGACCAACTGAATAGGCGACGAGGCGACCGATGACCATAAGGCCATCACGGTCACAGCTATAGCACTTTTGATGAGCATATAAGCAAATATGAACGCTAGTGTTACTGCCCAATGATTCTTCTATAGTCGCTTTATATACGATCACTACATGCTGTTG